AGTCATTTTCCAGTGAGAGCCACTGACATTCCTAAACTGTGAAAACCAAATTGTCGTGGGCTGAAAGCGCCAACTGCGGACGCGAGTCCGGCTGCCGGCGGCAGAAGCTGGGCTCAGCCAACACATGAACATAAACCAGTCATTAATTATATCTGCATATTTTAACGATGACCCCTGTCTTTCCAATCAACAACTACAACAACGACAACAAAGCCCCAGTGCAGAGCATTGGGAGCTTAGGCGATGCACAGAGCCGGGGAAGCTCCCAGGCTGCTTTAGGGTTTCCCCACGTACAGCGGGCTGCGATTGTCAGCAAGACGGATTCCTTCCCACACGCAAGATGCCACTTCGGTGGCCTTATCAGATGTTCCCTTTAAGGACACAAGCTCCTATTTCCCCTCTGTATATCACCAGCATCTCGGGCTATTTTATTTATTACAGACGATTACATTTGTGATCCCTCTTCCCACTTGATCTCACCAGATCAGGAGGACAAATGCCGTGTCGTGTCTGAGCGCGTGTGGGCGTCTGTGTGCATCGGAGCGGGGGGGCGGCCGGGAGGGGGGAGTTACACTGCGCAACAGATTTGCCCGAGAGGGACAAACCTCCCCCGCCTGGAACAGCCGGGCTTGTTCCTACCGACACCCGGGAAGCTGTGGGGGCGCGGGACCGGCAGTTTACGGTGCTGGGGAGGCGGAGAGAGCGTGCGGGGGTAATTCTACGCTCTCCCGTCTCGAACGGGTGGGATGCGGGGGCAGCGGGGGGCGCGGGGCACACACGGCCAGCACAGCCCCGTCCTCCCCCCGGCAGCCGGGCACGTGGACCGGGAACAGCGCGGCCATCCACCATGCAGCGCACGTCGGGCCCATTTCCCACGCCGGCCGCCTGCCCTGGGGGAGGAGGGGAGGAGGGGAGGGAGGAAGAGAGAATGATAGGAAAGGGGGGGCCGTTACCTCTGCTCCGAAAGAGGAACCAATCCACTGTGAAGGACGCAGCACTCCCGAGCAGGAAAGACATTGCACATTCAGAGGGAGATTGCATGTGAAGACACTGCAAAAAAAGAAGGAAAGGAGGGGGGGACTGGGGGGCGAAGACCGCGTGTGAAAGGCATAGTGTGTGTAAGAGAGGCCAGCGAGGGTAGGAAAGGAAGGGGGAGCAGTTGCACATGGCAAGAGAAAGAAATCACTCATTCGCTTGAAAGAGGCACTCGCAAGGAGACCGTAGTAGAAACAACGGGGAAGGAGACTCAGGCAAGAAGGCGAGCGTCCATGCCGTGCAACAGCCTGGAATCCGATTAAAGTTTATGGCGGGGAGGTTAAAAACGCTCTCATCCCGCCCCTTCCCTGGCGAATGCATTAAGTTTCCTGGCTGCGTTTAAAAACACAAAGGGACGGGAAACAGCGGGACCAGCGGTTCGCAGTTGTATTTCCAGTGCAGGGAGCCAGTGTAATGCAGTATGCTGGTATTCCTACGTACTGACATGTCTGGATCTTACACTGTGAGCAAAATTTCCTCCTCACGGAGCTCCAGAACAGCGAGGGGGAATTTTGACAAATTCAAGTTGCTTGGCAAATATAATAGGGATTTGGTACTAATCCTACTTAACCCGCTGCGAAGATGCTGCGCTCCCGAACCCCCCTCCTCCGTCCGGGACTGCGGCGGTGAGCACTGAGCCTGCGCCGAGCTGGGCTTTCTCGCTGATGCTGCAGATAGAAAGCCGAGTGTCTCCAGCGCCGGCGGGGGAGGGTTTTCGTGTTCTGGCTAGGCAGAGCGGCCGGGGCCGGTGCCAGGGCCGGAGGAGGCGCCGGAGGAGCAGCCCTGCAGCCCTCCGGAGAAGGGAGCAGTCCCTCCCTTCCTAGCGCCGACTCCATGCGGCGGGGCTCTGCCCTCTGTGTCTCTGGACTCCTCAAGGAAAGAGGTGGCAACCTTCCCTCCCTCCTACAATCGCTCACCGCCCCAAATGACAAAGACACGCTGTGACCGTTGCTTTGAACCACCTCAACATATCCGGCCGCTTTTCGCTTAAATATATCGTCGCGATGAAAGAGACATTTCGCTACATTGGTCTGCATGCGTTTTTGTTCAAAAGAGCCATATATATCGAGGAATGCACACACAAACACATACCGAACGTGCACATACAGAACTTGCTTTGCCACATGTGTTCACAGAGGGAGAAAGAGCAGCTGGATTCCTGCCTTCCCCTGGCTGCGCGCAGGCACACAGGCTCACACACATGTACCCGCACACACACACATGTACCGGCACACACACCCGCACACACGCGCGCATACACACCCGCACACGCTCATTCTCTCCCCACTGGCTGCCCCGCGCTCGCCTGCCCCCGGAGTCTCCCTCTTTTCCCTCCGGGCTCCGAGCAGAGAGGACAGGTAAGGAGCCAGGCATCAACAAGGGTAGGGCGGGAGCACACAAAAGCCATACGCGATTAAATGGCTCAAAGTCAAAAGGAGACGCGAACTAGAGACGTCAGAATAAGCAAAGTTGAGCCGGAGAGCTTTACCATTAAAGTTTATTTCCCACTTACCCAGGTAGGTGACGCTACATTTTAGCAATCATCGAAGCACCAAGTCTGTGTTCGGAAATAAATCTGTTACTTCTTACATGTGTTTATTCTACTAACCCTCTCGCTCCCTTCCTGATCATCTTCTCGGAGGGTTTTTTTCTTGGTGGTGTTTTTGTTTGTTTTTTTTTTTTCTCCTAGGATGCCCACAAACATGCTGAAAAGACACATTTTAACATGGTAATAGGAAGAACACAATCACAAAGACAGAGAGGCTGAAACAGCACTGGGAAATAGGACGAAAGTCTGAGATCTAAGGCAGTCCCCTTTCTCCCTGGAGTTTTATGCAGTTACAGTGACTGCAGCTATTTCACAAAAGCACCGACACAACAGGGGAAGGTGGGAGTCTGCGAAACGAGTTTCCTTACCAGCTTGATTCCGCAAAATGCAGAACAGAAGAAAAGAAAGGCGAACAAATATTTGCTTTAAAAATCGTTGCTCGATTCACAGTCTATAGCGGACGTGGGGAGGGAAGGGGTAGGAGAAAATCACTACAGATCACGGGTTTGAGAAAGCAACAGAAGCAACACTCGGGCTTGAAATGAGGATCGGTTTTGAGGACTGAACTGGTGTTTTGTGATGAGCAGCTATCCCACTTGCAGCACTAGCAGCAGAGACAGAGGGTAAGACTGAGCTTTCTGGAGTGCAGCGCTTGACTCGTCCTCCCTCCTCCTCCTCCCTCCCTCCCCTCCCGCCCTCCCTCTCTCTCTCGCTCTCTCTCTCTCTCTCTCTCTCTGCTCTCCCTCTTTCTCTCTCTCCCTCTCTTTCTGTGTGTATGTAGCGCAGGCGGTTCTGCTGCTGCAGCGTCAGGGAAGAGCTACCGAGAGAGGCTTCAGCAGCTCCCTCCACTTTGGGCAAACTTGCCGGTTTACCGCTTCTTCTCCTTTTTTTTTTTTTTTTTTTTTTTTTTTTTTTTCCTCTTACGAGTGGGAAGCTTCTCAATTGCCATTCAACATTTTAAAGCACAAGCCGCTCTGCCGTGAAAGCGTCTGATCCACACTTCTCTGAAAGACACAGGAGGGAATACACAATTGCAGATTTCACCCACTGTGGCGGTGCAGATCACAGGAAACAACTGACTGATACAATTTTATTTGCAAATAGAACTCTGTAATTTTTTTAATCGCGTCGCGGCTCTTTTCCCCTCCCCTTTGCCATTCCGCTTTATATGGATGTAATTCAGAATCTGTGTTAATTCACATGGGGGATCCAGTTACATCTTGTTCCGCTCCGGGTATAATTACGAGAGACCAATAATCGCCTTTGGACACATAGTTTTGTTGCTAACCTTTGAACTGAAAGGATCAAGTTCAGATCTGGTTACCTGCATTGGGACGGGAAGGAAGAGGAGAGAGAGAGAGAGAGAGAAAGAGAGAGAGAGAGACTGCAATCTCATTTGTGAATCGCTCTCAGTGCTGCAGATCCAGATTGCTTTAACACATGCAGTGCAAATGCAGGTAAGGCACACACACAAACTGCGGATGCAAAAACAAACTTGGGACTGTTGTGTGTCTATATTCTTATCTCCAGCCTTGCAAATTCTGGGCAAACGGCTTCTGCAGTTTCTGTATCGTTGCTTTGTGACTAATGACCTTGCGCAGAGTTGTTAAAAAAATCCGCTCCGGAGAAAGAGCTGAACATTTTAGGCGATCTCTGAAGATGGATTTGGGTGCTTTTCTGCCAGCCAAAGGGGATATTCTGTGGACTGCACTGTAATACTCGGGGTTCTCCTGTCAGCTGTGCAGACACCGACATTATTGGGATTTTTTTTTTTTTTTTTTTTTTTTTTTTTTTTTTTTTTTTTAAGAACTGCCTATTGCTAAGAGGATTTGGAGTTTTCCCGGACCCAAGCCCTTTGAATAAAGCAAATCACAATTTTTTCCCCTGTGTGTGCAGAGAGGGGGAAGAATAAAGCTATTGCCTTGGTCGTAAACGGCTGAGAGGGAGAGGGAGAGAGAGAGAGAGAGAGGGAAAAGAGAGAGAGTGTGTGAATTGTAGTTAACTCTAGTGTTGAAGACGACAACCTGGGGGGCTTCGAATCGTACAGTACTGCTCCTGCTTTTATTGCAAACCTTGCAAAGTGATTACAGTAAAATCAGAGAGGAGGAGGAGAAGGGGGAGGAGGAGGAAAATCCCATCCTATCTACTGAGATGAATCTTTAAAAAGCAAAATCCACTGTCCCGTGAACTGTAAGTATACCGCAACTGGAAGGCAGGGAGGCAGTGGAGGAGCCAGCAGCAGGGTTTTGACCACCAATTGCAGCAGTCATGAGACAATAAGTTTCCAGAAATAGAGGATTTTATAATTGATCACCTGGACTCTCAGCCGCACTGTTGGCTTATCAGGGGAGTTTATTGGGGGACAGGCGGGAGTGAGAGGAGGGCGGGGGGTTTCGGCACGAGGAAGATGAGGAAGATGCGGACCTTCCTTCGCTTTGTGCATTGCTACTGCTGCTGCTTCTTGCTCCTCCTGCCTCCGCCGCTCTGGGTCAGCCTCGCAGCGGCTAAGCAGCTCCTGAAGTACCGGCTGGCCGAGGAGGGACCCGCCGACATTCGCATCGGCAACGTGGCTTCCGACTTGGGGATCGTGACAGGCTCCGGAGAGGTGACATTCAGCCTGGAGTCGGGCTCCGACTATCTCAAGATCGATAACATGACCGGGGAGCTGAGCACCACAGAGCGGCGCATCGACCGCGAAAAGCTGCCGCAGTGCCAGATGATCTTCGACGAGAACGAGTGCTTCTTGGACTTCGAGGTGTCGGTCATCGGCCCCTCGCAGAGCTGGGTGGACCTCTTCGAGGGCCGGGTCATCATCCTGGACATCAACGACAACACCCCCACCTTCCCTTCCCCCGTCCTCACGCTCACCGTGGAGGAGAACCGGCCCGTGGGGACCCTCTACCTGCTCCCCACTGCCACCGACAGGGACTTCGGCCGCAACGGCATCGAGCGCTACGAGCTGCTGCAGGAGCCCGGCGGGGACGGCGGCCGGCGCGGCGGCGGGGGCGGCTCGGCCGCGGCGGCCCCGGAGAGCGCCCCCTTCCCCGGCGGCAGCAAGCGGCGGCAGGAGGCGGAGGCGGCGGCCCGCAGCAGCGTCTTCGAGCTGCAGGTGGCCGACACCCTGGACGGGGAGAAGCAGCCGCAGCTGATCGTCAAGGGGGCGCTGGACCGGGAGCAGCGGGACTCCTACGAGCTCAGCCTCCGCGTGCGGGACGGCGGCGACCCGGCCCGGTCCTCGCAGGCCATCCTGAGGGTGCTGATCACCGACGTGAACGACAACAGCCCCCGCTTCGAGAAGAGCGTCTATGAGGCGGACCTGGCGGAGAACAGCAGCCCTGGGACCCCGATCCTGCAGCTGCGAGCCACCGACCTGGACGTGGGGGTGAATGGACAGATCGAGTACGTCTTCGGGGCGGCCACTGAGTCCGTCAGGCGCCTACTGCGGCTGGATGAGAACTCGGGCTGGCTCAGCGTCTTGCACCGCATCGACCGGGAGGAGGTGAACCAGCTTCGCTTCACTGTCATGGCCCGAGACCGAGGCCAGCCCCCCAAGACAGACAAGGCCACTGTCGTGCTGAACATCCGGGATGAAAATGACAACGTGCCCACCATCGACATCCGGAAAATCGGGCGCATCCCGCTCCGGGACGGGGTGGCAAGCGTGGCCGAGGATGTGCTGGTGGACACCCCCATTGCCTTGGTGCAGGTGTCAGACCGGGACCAAGGTGAAAATGGTGTGGTGACCTGCACTGTGGTGGGCGATGTGCCCTTCCAGCTCAAACCGGCCAGTGAGGGTGAAGGGGAGCCACAGAATAAGCGCAAGTATTTCCTCCACACCTCGGCCCCTCTGGATTATGAAGCTGTCCGTGACTACAACGTGGTGATTGTGGCTGTGGACTCAGGCAGCCCCAGCTTGTCCAGCAACAACTCCTTGCTGGTGCGGGTTGGGGACACTAATGATAACCCTCCCATGTTCAGCCAGGCTGTGCTGGAGGTCTCCTTTCCAGAGAACAACTTGCCTGGAGAGAGGGTGGCCACAGTGGTTGCCACAGATGCGGACAGTGGCAAGAATGCTGAGATCACCTATTCCTTGGAGGCCTCACCCCTCTCCTCAGAGGCACCGGGCAGCATCTTCAGCATTGACCCTGACTCTGGGGATGTGTCAGTGCAGGCAGTGCTGGACCGTGAGCAACGGGACACCTATGAATTTCAGGTGACGGCCCGGGACAAGGGGGTGCCATCGCTGCAGGGCTCCACCACAGTGGTGGTGCGAGTGTCAGACCGCAATGACAATGAGCCACGCTTCATGCAGGATGTGTTCACCTTCTATGTGAAAGAAAACCTGCAGCCCAACAGCCCCGTGGGCATGGTGACTGTGATGGACTTTGACAAGGGCCGCAATGCCGAGCTCAGCCTCTCCATTCAGCCTGGAGACCACGAACAGGCAGCCGGCATCTTCTCCATCGAGAATGACACTGGAACCATTTTCTCCACTGTCTCTTTTGACCGTGAGCAGCAGACCAGCTACACCTTTAAGGTGAAGGCAGTGGATGGGGGTGAGCCACCACGGTCTGCCACAGCCACCGTGTCTCTCTTTGTGATGGATGAGAACGACAATGCACCCACTGTCACCTTCCCCAGCAACAGCTCCTACACTGTGCTGCCACCCTCCAGCAACATGCGCACTGTGGTGGCCACAGTGGTCGCCACTGATGCTGACACAGGTCTCAACGCTGACCTCAATTACAGCATTGTTGGGGGCAACCCATTCAAACTCTTTGAAATAGACCCGGCCAGTGGTGTGGTGTCACTGGTGGGCAAGTTGGCCCCCAAGCACTATGGCCTGCACCGCCTGGTTGTGCAGGTGAATGACAGTGGGCAGCCACCCCAGTCCACCACTGCCCTGCTCCATGTCTTTGTCAATGAGAGCCTGTCCAATGCCACTGTGGTGGAGAGCCAGGTGGCCCGCAGCCTTCACACCCCACTGGCCCAGGACATTGCTGGTGATCCCAGCTATGAGCTGAGCAAGCAGCGGCTCAGCATAGTCATTGGTGTGGTGGCTGGCATCATGACCGTCATCCTGCTTATCCTCGTGGTGGTCATGGCCCGCTACTGCCGATCCAAGGGCAAGCACGGCTACGAGGCCGGCAAGAAGGACCATGAGGATTTCTTCACCCCCCAGCAGCATGACAAGGCCAAGAAGCCCAAGAAGGACAAGAAAGGCAAGAAGGGCAAGCAGCCCCTCTACAGCAGCATTGTTACTGTTGAGGCTTCCAAGCCCAATGGGCAGCGCTACGACAGTGTGAACGAGAAGCTCTCGGACAGCCCTGGCATGGGCCGATATCGCTCGGTCAATGGCGGCCCAGGCAGCCCTGACCTGGCCAGGCACTACAAGTCGAGCTCACCGCTGCCCACTGTCCAGCTGCACCCACAGTCCCCCACTGCTGGCAAAAAGCACCAGGCCGTGCAGGACCTGCCCCCAGCAAACACCTTCGTGGGCGCTGGTGACAACATCTCCATCGGCTCGGACCATTGCTCCGAGTACAGCTGCCAGGCCAGCAGCAAGTACAGCAAGCAGGTAAGAGCGCTGCGCCCCGCGGGCCCCCACACGCAGACACACGCACACAGAAAGGGTGAGGGAGCCGGCATGCCCGTCCCCCCGCCTCCCACACTGGCACAGGCACACTCCCCGCCAGGGTTCAGTGACCCGTTCAGTCTGGTGCCCCCGCCCCCCTCCCTCCAGGCAGGCAGTCAGGTGCACAGACCAACACACAGCACGAAGGAAGAACAGTCAGACATCTTTATTGCATTGCTATATTTTTTTTATCATTGCCTCCGCTTATCAGATCCGGCAGCCGACCAGCCCGTCCGTGCAGCCGGCGCTGCCCCAGGCAGCCGGCCGCGGAGGCCGGGCTCTGTCGCCAGTCCCGGCAGGAGCTGTGAGGCAGCCTGAGATGCCTTTATCAGCCGCGCTCCCGGAGGCCAAACCCGGCGGTTTTGGGGGGGTCGAGGGGAGACCAGGACCCCCCAGCAGGCGGAGCCGCCAGCCCCCTCCCGCTCCCCGGCCCCGCCTCCATCAGCCCGTCCCGGCGCTTTCCCCACCGAGATGCTTTCCCAGCCTCAGGGATGTGTCAGCTCCGGCTGAGGAGGAAAGTTTCGCCTCGGCAGCCAGTTGTTTCGGGAAAAGGGGGTTGCTGCCTGCCTGACGCTTGCTAAAGCTGTGGGTGAGAGTGGATTTGCAGCCGCAGCGCTGAAGCGTTAATGGCTGTAATTACCGGGCCTTTCATTAGGACCAAAAGGCTTAATCTACACAGCCTATCTATGCTCTAATTTACACCACAGAGATTTGCACTCATTGCAGCAGTTGCTCTGAATACACATAAACGTTAGTTTAGAATCGCACCTCAGTATATGTTCTCATTCCTTTTTTTTTTTTTAATGCCCCTCTTGCCTATCTCATGAAATTTCATTCACGCTGAGAGGCCCTAATTTGCTCGCCCAGCTGCTGCATAGCTCTGTTTGTAGTCGTGATACCTCTCGGAGCGAAATGTGCCTTCAGGGGTGCCACGAGTGGCTGGCTCTGGTCTCGACTGTGTTGCCAGGGCTCGGTTCAGTGAAGCTCCGATAGCCTAAGAGTGGTGACGGTAGGGACAGTTTTTACAGTCCTTGAAATAAGATAGGGGTAGCACAGAGGGGAATCAAGCTTCTAAAGAAAGGCTTCCGTTTATTTTATAAGACGCTTATGTACCCTGAACAGAGGTCCCTCTTTTTCGGGGGAGTACTTTTTGGGTGATAGTACGTGTAAGATAACATCCTGAACGCTTTCTCAACTGCAATGCACGTTGCACAGGAAGCTAGAGGCAAATGAATGCTGATTCATGTAAGCCTGGAATAGGGAAATTCTGACTAGTTTGACAAAAGTGCTTTCTTTTCCACTTATTGACGTGTAAATATAGTACACGATGACATTTTTTTATACTTTGAAATGTTTGCTAGCTTACTAAAATTGAAGTTTTACAAGTGTTGCAAGTATTTGCATTCTGCTCAGAAATACTTAAAATATAGTAGCATAAAACTAATTGTGTAAGCCACCCCCTCCAGTCTTTCAGGTCACCAAAATAATGTAATTGTAATGTGCACCAGTGCTTTTGTATATGTGGCTTTGCAAGTGATACAGGCTTATAGAATGTTTGACACAGTAGTTTCTGTGTGACACATTTCATTAATGCCTTCCTACAGAATACATCACAATTTCAGTTTGAGAATAGTCTGTATAAAATACAAATTACTAAGTTGTTTATCTTTCATCTCCTAAGGCTTATTAAGCGCAGAGTAGATTTGCCATTTTAGCAAACACTGGAATAAAAGTAGCAGTGGAATGTATGCTAATCAGATATTGCTTCTTTCTTGATACTGCAGTTCAGCTAAACATATGGATTATAATATGTTAATAATATTAGTTATTATGTTAGTAATATATTTTGAATTACTTAATATATTCCAAGGATTTCTTTTGATATAAAATATATGAGAAAACTTAGTATAAGAAAATGGCTTTATTGCACTTTTACAAAGTAGTGCACCTTGAATTGCTCTGTTACTTAAATTGTTTGCTGCAAACCAGTTCCTCAGTGTTGATAGTTCTTGTGTTAAATATTAGCCTGTTATGAATGTTCACTTATTCAAGTAGTTTATAGCCAGTATTCTAATGTCTTATCTATTTATTTTTAAATATGTAGAGTATTTTCACACTTGTAAAGCATTCACATAAATTGGAAATTGTCCAAGAAAACAGTAAAGGTAGTGTTAAATAACAGACTTTATGGGAGAGTCTATCAGTCACAAACCCTCTGTTTCTACTTTCCTGTGTGTACTTGCCAGCTTGTTGCTGAGTGACATTGTATACTTTTGCTCATTTTACATAGTACTGAGCACATTAAGATTTACTTGCATAAACAATATGTACACTTTTCACATCTCAAACATTGACAGTGAAGTATTTCTCATTTTTTTAACACCCAAACCATGTGGAGCTCTTATTCAGCACAATTGTTTAGAGAGAAATGTGAAGCAGATGCAGATAAAAGGTTCTGATGGGGTGTATATCAGATTGTTTCATAGTTCTGTTCTGCTGTACTTCTGGAACAGAACCAGTAGCATAATGGTATGACTGTGGTAGGGAGACTACTTGAAATCTCTAAGACTGCCTTTATTTACTCATTGTCAGTTCCCTTTGTTCTAAGGAGACATTAGACAGCATATAAAATTTTAGAACAAATAAGTGGACCCAGCAGAACATACCTGATCTAAGTTACTGGAGAGGAGAGTGACGCTAATTACCCATTAGTGTAATTAGAATTGGTAACTGATACTTTCTTATAACTACAATACAGTAGACAGGAGATAAAGTCTCTACTTACATGACCTACTGGTGTACCCCAGGGAACACAGGTTGTTTTCATTCCCATGATTTGATACTTAATTTTTAAGGTGATGAAATGAATTCTTACATGTGTTTCAAAATAAATCATGTTTGATACAGGACTGTATAAGAGAAGGTAGTTGGAGAAAACCACAAACAATTTGTATCTCTCCTCCTTATGATGTCTTTTATATAAAGTTTAAAGCAAAATTCTGTATTCAGTAGACTTCTGATATTTCACAGTCGCTATTTTTAGGAGATCTTTAGCAAGTTTAACTCTTATCCTTGTCTTACTTATCATGGTATTACTCTGAAGTATTCTTTTAGCCTCTCACTTATCAAGTCTCTCCTTTTCAGTAAAGTACTACAAATGTTTAAAACACTTAGCATTCCACAGGTCTTAATCACTTGCCAAAAGTTAAAGCTGTACAGAAGTGTTTTATTGAATGGGGATGAGTTTAAGTAAGTGGTTTTCTGGATCATGGATTTAAAATTTGAAACCTCCAGGTGCTGCACATTGCCTGTGAGGAGCCTGGATATTGGGATTTCCAGCCAAAGATAATGAAAGCTCAGTGCCTAAGGGGAATCACTTAACAGCTTGGAGAGTTACATACTTAATCATAGATCTCATAATGAATTTTAATTGTAAATACTTGTTTATTTTATAATTTAGTTACATATATATTTTTATAATATATACTTCTCCACCTCTTTGTCTCACAGTGTAAAATAGTGTTATAAAAGCAGTTTTATTTCAGTGAAAATTTCAATCATGAGTCCTCACATTACCAACCACTCTTTGAAGAACAAGCCTTTTAAACACTCTTTATATCTTTATATTTCTTAGCCATCACCTTATCTTGGTTTCTTTTTTACTTGCTTTACTATGAAATGATTATTAGCTCTTTAAAACATTTGGGTCTTTAAAACACTCCAGTTATAATGCTGAGATTTTTTTTTTTTTTAAGAGATATTGGTCATGATAAGTGGAACTTATAGAAACAGTAAATTAATTCCTGTGCAGAATTATTTCTGTACCTGTACGTTGGCTTCTTAGCTAACTCTATAATTCTTTGTGAAAAATCCCAAAGCCTTTTCTCATTGAAAATGTACTGTTTCATGAAAAAAATGTTTATCAAACCAGTGTGCTGACACTCTAATCAAAATTATATGCATTTGCTGTAAAGTCTTAACTTTCCTGAAAGTGGAATACATAGAAATTAATTTCTGAAAAAAAATCCTTGTTCCACAGCCATTTAATTTATTTAATACAATTTCAAACATAAATCAGTCTGCTGCAATATTGCAGAAGTATTTTGACTAGTTGGTTGTCATGTATGTCAATTGAATCTATAAACTAAATGGATCAATTTCCTCATAAACATGCACATATACCCAGCAGCCCTAATAAGACCCCAAATTCATCTATAAAGGAGGCAATCAGTTTAACCATACAGAAGGGTATAATCTTTCCTCTTGTTTATGTACAGACACACACATACACAGACAGGCTTATCTCAAAGGCTATTTTTTATATTCCCAAACACCTCTAAAAATTAAATTTTTTCACAACTTTAAGCTAAGAAAATATGCTACAGTATAATAATCATAAAAATAACAATGTCATTGTGGCTCTACTGCCATGTCAAAAAAAGAATATTGTTATTGAGTATAAACATTTACATTGCTGACTTCTTTCACACATTTAACTTTCATACTGTTTAGTGGAAAGCATACAGAAGTATTTTCAATTTTCTGTTCTCATTTTGTATTATGTTAAATATTTTACAATTAGTTTTTAAAAGTGACCCACATTTCACCTTCAGTAGCAAATTATGATGAGAGAGGGGCTAATTAAACATGAAATGGATGTATCATTGATGCTTTAATTATCTTTATTTAACAGAAAGTGTTCCACTGATAAGTGCAGCTTTTATTTTTTTCCTTTCCAGTAAAATCATCTTGTACAGTGCACAAATGACTAAGTTACCATTGAATCATTCTGCACTCCCAAGAGATGTACAGAGCCAAAAGGGACAGGATCTGAGTAAAGAAGGATACATGCTCTGAATAAGTAAAGAACTGTACTATTATAGGCAAGGGGTAGCAAGAAACATCTTTAAAAGGACAGAATCTGATTTATCAACTCAGACAGC